GTCCAGATTCAGCCACTGTTGAAACTGATCAGTTTCAGCAGCGGCTGAATCTGGACGCCAGTTCCGACTTACATACGGATTCAACTTAAGAACAAACCTACAGTCCCTATCTTGTACGTAACCCCGGGGACTGCCTGTAACTACATAAAACAAAGCTATAAAAGAAAGCAAATGTAACTAATGCTAAATGTCAGGCCTACAATGTCATGGTCAGGAATGGAAATAGGACTGAATGCTGGGGGCTCTTGAAATAAATAACCCTGCTTTTCTGTGATGCCTTGTGGTAAAATCTGATTTTTTTTTATTAGAACTACTTAATATTCAGAGCTTTTAGGACATCAGGGCTTCACGTGTTCATTCATTTCAATTGTGATGTGGATGGGTTTGTGTCCACAGAATATCAATTGAGTTTTGAGCCTGTGGACCCCAAATAAGGTAAGACCTTCACCCAGTTTTGCCTAGCAGCTTTTAAACTTGAATTATTTTTATTTGAGGGAGGCAAACCTCAATCTGAATTACTCAGAACTTTGGAGAAGTTTGGATTCAAGCTCTGAAACTAAAGATAATCTCTAGTTTCAGTGCACACCTGTTATTGATTCCATTGTCTTGAACTTTTTCAAACATCTGGGCTGTCATGTTTGTAACTTTAACTTCCTTCAAATATGTTTTAATTGTAACTTTGAAACCTACCCATATCACATGTTGATTTAGGATCTTCAATAGCTTTCAATCCCTTTTAAAAACCTTTTATATTATTTGTAAATACTTGGTTTGTTTTTCATCCCTTTTTAAATCTTCTCTATATCTCTATTCTTTGTCTTTATTTACTGTAATGTAGACAGACAGACAAGCTATGTATACTTTGGCGTCCAGTGTTGAATTTGGGGGCGCAGGAATGGCAGGATCGTGTATCCTGTGGTGACCGGCTTATTTTTGTTCACTGATCTTTTAGTAAAGATCTATTACAGACTACTAACTTACTACCATGCTGCACCCACCATATTCAATTATAATGCTGTGTAATGGTGAAGTATGTTCTAAGAGATTTGATCTAAGCAGGTAACGGATGAGACATTACACAGTTACTGGCCATGACCCACATTGGAGTTAAAAGGTTATATAATCTCTCCCAAATCAGCATGGGAATGAATGGCTGGTATTAAAGCTGTATGATTACTCTGAAAGATCTTGTGTAATGATGCATCTCTTTCAGCAATGTCACTAACCAATCTTTTTCTGTCTCCTTCTGTGACTTAGGTGCATGGTGATGCTGCTTTCTCTGGTCAAGGGATTGTTCCTGAAACATTGACGCTCTCTAATCTCCCACATTTCAGAGTTGGTGGAAGCATCCATTTGATTGTTAATAACCAGCTAGGTTACACCACTCCTCCAGACCGAGGAAGATCATCACTATACTGTAGTGATATTGGTATGTTTAAAAAGGTCAAGTGTTTGTTTAACCTGCATAAAAGAAATGTAAACTCCAGTGTGAAAGTCTGGTACCTGTTCCTCTTCGGGTTTTTACAGCTAGTGTTCATATATCCTAGGGAAATCTTTTTTTCAATTGTTGTTGTCTTAGGTAAATTAGACTAGCTTTTTTTTTAAGTGAAGTAGAATACATACTAATAATTTCAGTACAAAATATTATTCTCAAGCACTTCAGACAAAGGTTTAATAGCAGAGAAAAATTACATAGTATTTAATACACATTCTGTAGCATTCTGTATAGGTATTGTGAAGTTTTTTGGGTTTTGCCAAGTCTAAATGTTTTGTTAGTCTTTAAAGTGCTACTAGACTATTTGTTTTTCAGACTTTAAATATATTTGTCAAGTGTTTAAAATATGTTTTTTTAATTTAGTATGAGACTAAAAATAATTTATTGAATTGAATGAATCAGTCATAAACTCTGTGGGTCTCCTAAGCATTGATTTACCTAGATTCTGTTATATGAGAGTCTTGGTTGTGATTGTAGTGTGACAGGCGCACTTGTGAGTTGAAGGAAGCAATAGAAATATGAAGTTGGTTCCACTATTTGAATAAGGTGAATGAAGGCTTTCTTTCTCTGACTTTCATCTTTGTTACAAATCTAGCTCATCAAAGCAGATTTATGTGCTCCATCTTTCCAATGTGTATAGATGTAATTATATCCCCTGCAACTAAAAATATATCCATGCCTTGGGCTTTTCACACTAAATCTTTCTGTATTATAGCTTTAACAAAACAGGTGTTGCAGATACCATGATAAATGCCATGATAAATGACAGGGAAAGCAAGTTGAATTGTCATTTTTTCCCTGCATTGGTTTTGTGGTTCACATCCCTAGATTTCCTTTCTTTGTTGTGTATTGGTTATGACATGGTTCATTACCTATGTGTGTCCATGGAAGGAAGTTGTCAGAGAACTGGTGGCACTCCTGGGATTCTATGCGGAGAGGGGGAAAAAATCACCAGAAGGGCCAGGGCAATAACTGTAGCACACCAACTTTCCTGGAACATGTGAAAGGAAGTACAAGCTAACAGCTGGGAACCTGCCTATTTGCTGCCTAGTCAAGTTGCCACACATAGGGGAGGGTGCTCTAATGTGAATTTTTTTTTTTTTTTTTTTTTTTTTTGGTGGTGGGGGCGGGGGGTTCTGCTTATTTGAAAAGACTTTATGACAAATCTGTCCAGGTCTGCTGGGAGCAACCTACCATGAGTGGATTATGAGAGACTGCTTCTGATCAAGGAAATGCTACATAGGTTTCAGATAAACCTTGCTTCAGGTTAAAAACTGCATTTTATTTCTCTTTTGGAGCAATCAAAAAACTGTGCCAGCCTTTGACAGGTTTAGTTTCCATCCATAATGAGAGGCTCCAGGGACTGTGTGCACCAAACCTGTTAGAAGTGTTGGCTCATTTTGGAGCCATATTGTGGAAGACATCTGCACACATTCACAGGGTTGAGGCAATTGTAATGATCTCAAAAGACTCTCCTCTCTCTGCTCACATTGGCAGGATTGCTCCAGATGTTTTTGGCCTTTCTCTGATGCACTGAGTTCTAGTGGGCATATCCAATATATTCATTTTCCTGTGAAAGCAAAGAGTAGGGAGTATTTTGTAAGATCTTGCCCTCATAAATCCATATTTTGAACTTCTGTCCAGGCAAAATAGTTGGATGTGCAATTATCCATGTGAATGGTGACGACGCTGAAGAAGTTGTCAGAGCAACGCGATTGGCTGTTGAATACCAGCGCCGCTTCCGCAGGGATGTGATTGTAGACTTGCTGTGCTACAGACAATGGGGTCACAATGAACTTGATGAGCCATTCTTCACCAACCCCAGCATGTATAAAATCATCCGGTAGGTTGATGCTGGGAAACGAAAGTATATAACTCGTGCCTCAATCAGCTGCAGTAACAATCAGTTTATCCTCAATTGTAACAGAAACCTCTATAAGAAACTTAAAATCCTTGTTTACACTAGCACATTCTGTCCTTTTGTCATCAGTGATGCACCAGCCTCTGTGTTTGCAGCAGGATAAATACTAGTGTGAACATGGCTGTATATTTTGGAGCACATTGTCAAAACATCTTGCATATTAAAGAGAAATTGGGCATTACTGATGATGGTGCTAGTGTTTGAATATGCAATTTGATGCCCTCTTTAAAGAACAAGTTCGATCTCATCTGCATTTTAAAACTTCCCAACGGCTAATCTTGATTGATTGTTTTCCCCCCTCTGCTCATGAGCACATGTGGGGTTCAAGAGTCAGACAATGGATTGGGGAGGGTTTGCAGGTCAGGGCTGATAGCAGTTGGCGGAGCAATGAGTGGGACGCTTGCATGATGCCTGCTTAACCTTTAGTTGGTTCTTGGCCATTCAGCTAGATCCTCCTTTATGAACACTAAAAATTATCCTAATTTTATCCCCACACCAAAAAAGTGGTTCTCCCCCCCCCCCCCCAAAAAAAAACAGCTCCCCAGTAATTTACCCACCCTTCTAGCCAGTATATTCCAGCACTTACCAGTGCTCACATTTGGTGGAAGAAGATGTTACATTTCCATGTTTTAACTCAGTTTGCTGTGAGTTTATCATGATTAGGGTGTGACTGATTGTGGGTCTTGCTTTTTGACAGTAGCTAGTTACAGATGCTTCTCTATTAATAAACAATGTAGTATCCATTGTCCTGGAGAATTTCTGTCCCTTAAAATCATTCAGATGGAGACCCTCCAAAAAGTAGCCACGTTCTCAGAATGAGTTTATACTGCAATTTAGCAACAGGGTCATATTTCCTTGCTTTGCTACTACAGTGATGGCACCGGGTGCATGTGTGGGGTTTGCCTTGCTTCCTGACAGATCCCGTAAGAGTGTCCCAGACATGTATGCAGAGCGTCTAATGGCCAGTGGGCTTGTGACTGAGGACGAGGTATTGGAGATAAAGACTTCATATTATTCCAAGCTGAATGATCATCTAGCCAACATGATGATGTATAGCCCCCCTTCAACCAACCTGCAAGCTCACTGGAGTGGCATGGTGGAACCATCTGCTAGGATCACCACTTGGGATACAGGGCTGCCTGTGCCACTCTTACAGTTTATCAGCATCAAGTCTGTGGAGGTACCTGAAGAGCTTCGGATGCACAGTCATCTTCTGAGGACACATGTACAGGTCTGCAAGGCTTAATGATGTTTAACATCTTACTCCATAGTTCAAAAAATAGGCCCGATACAGGAGGAATTGAATGCCACTAAGCATGCAACTACAGAACAACTGTCGTCTTGTAAAATAATGTCTTCCCTGATGAGGTTGATTTGAGCTTTGTAAGGATTGAACCACTTCTTTGTGTGTGATAAATACAGGATAATTTCCCCAAAATTATAACCCCCCCCCTTTTTTTATTAGAGCAGAGGAAAAAATCATTCAACGAACTTGGCCTAGGCCTTTTTAAAATAAGCTTTTATTGCACATAAGAGTATTTTCTGGGTGACTGGCTCAGAGTTTTGTACTGGAATATAAGCTATTACCTAAGGCACCAGTATAAATGTGCCCGTGGTCATGGTTAGTAGATGTTAAAGAGCAGTTATTTGGCTAATCGTGTAGCTGATACAGTTTATATCAACTACACAATTAGTCGATAAAATGCAGAGGCGTAGCAGACCTGGGCTGGTGTGAGCCAGGACTGCTCAGTTCCAATTCATGCTGGGTCCAGCAGCCCCTGTTCACAGCGGCCCGGGCTGGCTGTGGGCTCGGGGTGCTCCAGCGGAGTAGAGCAGCTCCCCGCTAGGACCCCCGTGGTCAGGCTGCTTCCAGAGCAATCTCTGTCCACAGCGAGCCTCAGCCCGCTGCAGACAGAGGCTATTTTGTAGCTGCTTCCCCTATTCGCTCTCCCTTCCCTTCCCCTCCCCCCAGCTGCTTCTGAGGCAGCAGGGGCAAGGGAGCAGGCAGCACTGCAGAGACAGTGCTGGCGGGGAGGACTGGGGGTGACCAGCTTTTAAGCCAGCTTATTGGGTAGTTGAGTAGTCAACTAGTGATGTGAGTAGTCAATGACCCTCAATGACTAAGTCTGATGGCTATAAGTTGCCTGTATGAAATTATTTTGTTAGTCTTCTTCTAATCAAAAGCATCCACATAACAAAATTCATTGGCGTTGGTTGATCCTTCATAGGCACTCTGAGAGGCCAAGAGTTGAATGGGTGGAAAGACTGGCCTAGCCTGCCTACCTCCCTCCACATTCTGATGCATGTTGGAAGAGCAGTGTTTTGAAGAACATTTTGCATGGTTGCTGCCTAATCAGGGTTTTTTTTATAGTTGAGTAGGGGGCTGTGCCCCTTGCTCGCTGCTCTCACCAACCCCCCTGTCATGGGGGGAAGGCAACCCCAGCTCTCCCCCTGGCCACCAGGGAGGGCCAGGATGTGGCCTGGTGCCCCTTCCCCTTCCCCCTCCGCACCAGTCAGGGTTCCCTTCTCCCTACTCTCTCCTTACTTTCCTCCCCTTCACCAGCCAGGGCCTCATTGTCTCACCTCACCCCACCATGATCTAACCATAACTCCAGCAGCCAAGTGGTGGCATGCCAGGCCAGGCTCCCAGGCCCTATTTCCCCCCCACATACTGGGGGAGGGGGGCGGACCAGAGCTGTGCTGGCCTGGTTTTCCTGCCAGGAGGAGCCAGGGCCAGCTTCTCTCCTGCTCTTCTCCCCTGGGAGGGCCCAGGCCTGAGGGGTGCTGGCCCCAGGACCAGCTTTCCAGCCAGCCTCTGGTAAGGGGAAGGGAAAGCTGGGGCCATAGGCAGCCCCAGCCTTCCACGTGGGCCCTGGGAAGGGCCAGGTTGGGGGTGGGTGGGGCATGGTCCTGTGGAACTCAGTGTGATGTGATGTCACTCTGTCCCACAGGAAACCCTTTTTTATAGGTATAGTAAGATAAGTCTGGAAATGGAAATCTTCCGTCTGTCATCTTTCCTGAGCACTAACCACTTAAATAAAAAACTGTGGGATTGTGTTCCAAGTGGTTGAAAATCTAGGTCTTGCAATGAGATCTATAGTTCCCTGGTGATCTGCATGGACACATGTATCTACCACATGGACCTGATTGCAGGATTGGATTGGGATCTTAGGTGACTGTCAGTGGGTGGCCTCAGGTAGGGATGTGAATGACTAATTGACACTCCTTCTCCCCTCCCTCCCCCCAGTGAATGACTAGTTGCTTCTCCCCCCCCATTGCCTCTATCAGAAAGAGGCAGCAAGGGGGGTGGAAAGAAGATGGGGTGTGCAGCCAGGTGCCAGCTAGGAGTAGTCAATTAATCAAAATTTCACATCCCTTGGCTTAGTACGGCCCACCACCTTGTTTTCTGCTCTTGATTCCTTAATAAAATTAGGCTTTATCAGTTCCAGTGTCAGCCCTTCTTTTGAGGATGGTTTGAACGTTAAGTTAAAAAATAAGTTTTACGTCTGGTCTTCATCTGGACAAAGCCTCAAAATCCCTTAGTGTCTGAGTACAATGCTTCCTGTCTTAGTAGGTTATTCCCAGCACTTCTTAGCTGGAGCAGTTCTCTTAGTCTTGGGGTTTTCACTGCAGGAGCTTATCACGCTCTGCACTCCTGCTGCAGATGTTAAAGGGAAGTCACCTGATCCATACCCAACTGGCTCTAATTAAACCCCACAGCTCATTCTAGATGTGCTTATTGTACAGGGCTGGCAAGCTCCAGGCCTCCCGCTCTCAAAGCATGCAAGCCACCCTGTTACAGTGACTAATAAAACTTTAGAGATGTTGCTCTGTGTATTTTTCTAGCTAACTCTGCTGATCTGTAGCATCTAATGAGTTGCGGACTGACAAAGCTATATCACAATCTACTTTTTTTTTTTTTAAATAGGCAAGAATACAGAAGGTGGAAGAAGGAACAAAGTTGGACTGGTCTACGGCTGAAACATTAGCTTTTGGTTCACTACTTAGCCAAGGTAAGGGGCAGCTAGGTGGCAGATAGTATAAAATGTTGCTTCAGTGACAATCTAATATGCTCTGAGATCTTTTTTCAGTGTATCTCATGGTCAGTCCAAGAAATTGAGTATGTAACAGCCCAATATAATATTCTAATAAAAAGTCAACCATGACTCTCTTGTGCCTTTCTGATTTACAGGTTACATACTAGCTGATCCTGAGGATAAAGACCCTGCATCACTGAAACATATATTCTTATGCTTAAAGCTAAGCATATGAGTAGTCCCATTAGTTACAATAGGACTACTTAAAAGTATATGTTTAAATTGAAATATAAGGCAGCAATTCTCACCACTTAGGCCTAGAATCAGTTTGGCATTAAAATGCAGACCAGACAAATGCACTTTGTGGTTTGCTTCTGGCCTCATGTACTCTTATTAACCATTCAAAATAGCTAAGCAGTTTGTCACAAGTGGAGGTCTCAGCTCAAGAGCATCCAGTTCTAAAGTAGAAAGTAGACACCATTTTTCTTTCTCTGTATAAGTAAACTAATAAGTATTTTTTATCACTGGTAATAAATGTATGCTGGTACACCATCTTAAGTAATCTCAGTATTTGCTCCAAAAAACGTAGATGCTAATGCAGACACAGACTAACGCCCATTCAATCATATTTATCTAGCCAGTATTTACAAGACTTTACTTGGACTCATGCAGAGGTCAATGTTGAATCTTTATAGGAATTGTGTTTTTTGAAAGAGGGGAAATACAGTTTGGCCCAAGAGAACTAGAGGTGTTTGCTGCAAGAGCAAGGGTGGGGTGGAAGAAAGCATAACGATTAAGAATGGTAGAAAGCAAATAAGGAACAAGCCTTGGAAGTAATGGAGTACAAAGGGGAAATGAGTGCAGGGATGTGAAGGCAAGAGTGGAGTTGCATAGAACCCTGGTGATTAGGGGAAGAAGCTGGAATTTGATATGTGTGGTAAAGAGACACCAGAGAGGGTTTTGAGAAGAGATATTGTAGAATAGGGAGCATTACAGGTTGTCTCTCCCTCGTCCAGCACCCTTGGGTCCTTACAGGTCCCGAACAAGGGGATTTGCCAAATGAGGGGAGGTCCCTCCCAACATGACCTGTGCTGTCCCCGGCTAGGATTACAGCCGAGCCCCACTGCTATCTGCCTGGCCATGGCTCCCCAGGCTGGAGCTGCTGGGGTTCCACGGCTTCCGGGACTCTGCAGCTGCTGCCAGCCACCCACTATTGCCCAGCAGTAGGGGCCAGAACTCCCTTCTTCGTCACCCTCCCTCAACACGGGGCTCCTGGCTGAGTTGTGTGCCCCACCCCGGCTCTGTGGCCCAACCAACCTCCTTATACCTGGACTCTGCGTTCCAGGAACGTCCGTGGTCCGTCAGACCACAAAGTCCCAGTTAAGGGAGGTACAACCTGTACTAGTATTCTCTCCCTTTTAATTGCTTTGATTATTTAGAGTTACTTTGTTTCTTGCTTGATAAAGGGTTTAGTATCCGACTAAGCGGACAGGATGTTGGCAGAGGAACTTTCAGCCAACGGCATGCAATGTTGGTTTGCCAAGAGACAGACGAAACCTATATCCCACTGAATCACATGTCTCCAGATCAAAAAGGCTTCCTAGAGGTATGATGTATGTCACTTATCCATAACTTCACATTGTTGTTATAATTTGCGTTTAACACCTTTTGAGAGTCATAACACTCTTCTTGAAGGTGGCTAACTTCCCATTCTATAAATTATCAGAGGGGTGGCCGTGTTAGTCTGGATCCGCAAAAGTGACAAGGAATCCTGTGGCACCTTAGAGACTAACAGATTTATTGGAGCATAAGCTTTCGTGGGCAAAGACCCACTTCGACATGCATCTGACGGTCTTTGCCTACTAAAGCTTATGCTCCAATACATCTGTTAGTCTATAAGGTGCCACAGGACTCTTTGTCGCTTTTGCATTCTATAAATTGGGATCTTAAACCTCAAAAATGTAATTAGCTCATTGTGTGATCTTGAAAAACCTAATGAGAGAGTTGGGACTGAAATAACAGTTATTTTACCTTGAAGTAACTATGGTTCTTAAGCATGTCCCCATGGATTCCATTTTCAGTGCACCAGGACTCCTGTGCATGTGAGATCAGATTATTTTGGCCAATAGTATCTGGGAATAGTACCTGTGCCCTAGATATCTTTGTGCACCACCACCCTACAACAAGGTCATACTAGAAGATGTGGGCCCACCCATTCCTCAGTTCCTTTGCCAGAGCAAAATGTAAGAGAAGTATGTTTCTGTAGTAGCTGGGAAGGAGGGTAGTATGTAGAATCTACATGGACTACATATCTCCAAGAAACGTACCTTACTTTAACTTCTGTTCATTCTTAAAGTGATTGTTCACAGGGACTCTTCTCTTGGTGACTAACAGTTCTGTTTGATCAGAGTGGGGTAGCAGGAGTCCCAATTAAACAAGGGTAATAAGAGAGCCCTACCAAAACAGAATTCATCTGAAAGCTAACCAAAGAATAGTGTCTAGTGCATGTGTTGACTGAGCGCCACATAGATGCCCTGCAGACTTCCGAAATAGACATATTCTTCAAACAGGCTGTCGAAGCTCTAGTGGAATAAGCTTTAATGTAGCTGAATATATCCCACTTGATTAATTCATAGCATGTTGTGACTGTGAACTACACCCAAAGTCCCTTGCTGGAGGCTTGTGGCTTTGCCACACTCTGGACCAGGGAAAACAGCAGAGAAGTCCTCCTGCCAATCTGGAGTGGCTGCAGCTTCTGCAGCTACTCAGGGCCCAGAAAGCCAGTATAAAGAAGCTACTGGGCCGGGACCCTGGCAATTCCACTGTGGATCTCAGGCCAGGTAGCCCCACACACTGACTGGGAAAGCAGCAGTACCTTGGACAGGTTAGTGTGTAGGGTGGATTGCAGACCTGGCTGAAGACCGGATGTGGTGGGTAGGGAAAACTGCATAACCCAGGACAGGGTGCTATGGGGACTTTGAGATAAATCCCTGAGAGAGGGCAAGAATGGTGCAGATGCTTGGTGAAGTGGCCCAAGCAGCAGTGGAACAGTAAGGACTGACACTTGGCAGAAAACTGCTATTTACATGGTGGCTGATATCGAGAGGAGTGAGTGTGCTTGGTTTTCGTGTCTTCCCCCCTCCAACAGTCCAGTGGCTACTCAAGAGGGCAGGAAAGAAGGTTGGTCCCAGACAACCCTGAAGAAGGTCCCAGACAACCCCAAAGAAAGGGCACCTGGGATATCTTCCACTCCCTGAATTAGTCACCGGAGTGGGAGCTTGTGAACATATATCCTCAGCCAGAAGGGGGCACTCGAGAGGGTGAGCCCTTTATACATGTTCTCATACCAGTGTTTCCCAATTGTATTTGGCCACGTAACCCTTTTCAGCTTAAAAGAATTTCAAGGAGCCCCCTGGGTTGCCAGGGTAAAATTGGTCAAGCAGGAAAAAAAAAAAGCAAAAGCCAAGCCAAAGCCGCAAAATAGTTTCTGTCTCTTTAAGAGGAGATGGGGGAGTGTTGCAATCTCGCGGAACCCTTACTTTCGCTTTGCAGAACCCCAGGGTTCCATGGAGCACCAATTGAGAAACACTCTCATACAGTTAGATTATCTCTAAGGCAGTGGGCTCCAACCTTTTTGAGCATGAGATCACTTTTTGAATTTAAGTTCAGGTCTTGGATTAAGGGATCTGGGGTGCGATGTATACAGTATATATATAACCAGCTTATAGTACCTCCTGATAGTCCAGCATATCTGATAATCCGGCACCACCTAGGTCCCATAGGTTCCGGATTATTGGAAGTCTACTGTACACACGCATACAATGTAATTTTTTTTTTTTTTTTTACATCAGGCACTAGCAAACAACTAATTGGTAAGACCACTGATTATATTAATACAATGCACTGTTAAGTTGGTGAATGCTGTGAGGGTGCAGTCTTGAAGAAGGAACTGAGGAACAGTTGGGCCCATTCTGCTTTACATCCTTAGGTGGAGGGGGAATATGGAAGACATTTAGAATGCAGATGTTGCTCCAATAGACTCTACTGGCCAAAAGAATCCAATTGTATGCACATGGGACACATGCACATCAGAAGTTGAATCCATGTGAACAATCACTTGAAGGGCCACAGTTTATAGAATTCTGGTTCAGTTCTCTAATAACTGGGATGGATGGGTTTAACTACTTGTTTCCATAGAAGTAAGTCTGCAAGTAAAAGGAATTGTGATCTGACATACAGGGAGCAAGTCAATAATTCCGTTAATTCAGCAACACACTCAACTGAAGCTCTTAATTGGTTGTTGTTTTTTTATTTTGGATTTAGTTGAGAGAGGGGCTCTGGGTTTTTTTTGGAGATCAGCTATGGAGGTGAAGGAAACTATGAAGTAGCCTGATAGCTCCTTCATAATTTTTTTTAAAAGTGGAAAAAGGGTTATTGTGGAATGCATCCGTACCTAGGAATGTGCTTCCCAAACATTCCTGTCATAGACATGCTTTGATTTTTGGAAAAAATGAATTTGATTCTAACAGTTTCTCTTTTTTTCCCACCTATCCATGTTCTCCAAACTCTTTCTCTGTTAGGTGAGCAACAGCCCCCTGTCTGAAGAAGCTGTGCTTGGATTTGAGTATGGAATGAGTATTGAAAGCCCCAAGTTACTGCCAATTTGGGAGGCTCAGTTTGGTGATTTCTTTAATGGAGCCCAGATAATATTTGACACTTTCATCTCTGGAGGTTAGTGTTACAGAAACTCCTTTTTTAACTAAAATACCTCATTCTCAGAGCAAGCAATTCTGTATCATGTATAGGAAATCTATTTGAGTAATCTAGCTGCTGTACTTATATGGCCCCAATTACTGTTTTCTATGAGCACCTCATGTTCTTCCATATATGTACCATCACAACATCCCTGTGAAGTAGGGTAGTGCTATTCTTATTTTACAGATGAGGAATTGAGGCCCAGAGACACTTAATACTTTTCCAAGGAGGAGCATGGACTTGAACCAAGATCCATGCTAATTCCCTAATCACTGCATCATCCTTCCAGTGCTAATGGGTTGTTAGGATTTTTTTTTCTTTTTATGACTTTTTTACTTTTTCACAGCATAGTCTAGACCCGCTTCCGAATGAACAGCAGAATGTGATGAAGGGATCCAACCACTAAGTACCATGTGCTGCTAAGCGCTGTTCCTAGCTCTGGGTCATATTCCACCTCTCCAGCCTTCTTCCTCTTGATAAGTTTATGTGAAGAAAAAGCCATTCATGGTTAAAGGCTCTCCTAGCAGAAATCCCATTTTTGAAGCAGGGGAATATTTCATTGTTGATGCCCCATGATTGTTCTGGCATGGTTTTCCAAACCTAAACTCTCCACTGTGTGTCAAATTCCTGCTACGGAATGGATGGTTTAATGCACAATGACTGTTACTATTTCAAACAGCATTGATAAAGCCAAATAGAATTTATAACTGCACACACAGATATCTACCCCAAACTATCAGACTTTAGTTTGATTGAAAATAGGAATTGTCAGAATTGTAAATTATTCCAGCACACTGTACTTAATCTGAGATGGCTTTTCATTGACATAGTTTCCAGGAAACCAGCAAACTGAGAAGGGGACATGATCCTTAAGCAGGACGGTATTAGAATAAACTATGCTTCAAATGGACACACTTTCAACAGGGGCATCTGCTTAAGAAATTACTTACCAGAGGTTAAATAGGTATAAAATTATCTGTGCTGGTATTTTGATATAAAAGTCTCCAAATAAATACTGTAAAAGAGAACATGAAGTGAACCACTGTTGTTCAGTATAGTTTGCTGAACTTTAAATGTTCTTAGTTGTGGGGGTTTTTTTGTTTTTGTTTTTTTGAAGAGGCTTTTAATTGGAATAGTTTCCTAATCAGGATGACAATGTTCAATTAAGAGGACTTTAACTCTTGAGTGCAATTTTTAAAATAAAATATAGGATTGATAATCAAAGCAGAAGAACATAGCTACTGCAGACTTAGAATATTTCTCAAAACCTAGCAGCTCTCATTTACACACAAGTCACAATCCTCAGAGATTTTCATGTAAATTAAGTTGTACTGTGTCAAAATTTCAATCTGACCACTAAACTCTTAGAGGAAATTGCATAGTTTTGTTTGTTTAAAGACTCTCTTGCTAGGGATGTATATAAACCTCTGGAAGACGATTTGCAAAGACAGTCACTTAGTGAATTACACTCTGTGAAATTCTCCCCCTTTCCCCTTACAATTGTGTTTCTATAGGTGAAGCTAAATGGCTGCTGCAGAGCGGGATAGTCATTCTTCTTCCCCATGGCTATGATGGTGCAGGCCCTGAACACTCTTCCTGCCGAATGGAACGTTTTCTACAGGTAGCTAGAATCACCTGCCTGTGTCATATCTCTGTCGATGCGTGCCAGTGTCGGATGCTTCAGAAAGGCTGTTTTGTTGAACTTGCCTATAGCACTTGCTGTCAAATTAAGCCATATAGACGGATTTAAATCAGCAAGCAAAAAGTCTTGATCTTAGGCTCAGCTGGGCCCGGGGCGGCAAGCGGCCCTTTGGGGTCGGCCCGCCGCTTGCTTGCCTCCCAGGGCCCAGCTGAGCAGCACAGGGCTGGGCCAAACCGCCACAGAGGGAGGGGCGCTGACATACACAGCCAGGGGGCGTGGCCATGTACGTCACTGTTACAGACTCACAGACAATGGGCTGCTATATATATGACGTTGATTTTCAACTAAATACAGTCTTTGTATTAAATTTGATCCTTCTATCCTTTCTTCTTGCCTCCCAGGGCCCAGCTGAGCAGCACAGGGCTGGGCCAAACCGCCACAGAGGGAGGGGCGCTGACATACACAGCCAGGGGGCGTGGCCATGTACGTCACTGTTACAGACTCACAGACAATGGGCTGCTATATATATGACGTTGATTTTCAACTAAATACAGTCTTTGTATTAAATTTGATCCTTCTATCCTTTCTTCATGCACTATATCTATACACATTTAACTACTTGTATAGATTAATCTACATTTTATTCAGTCTTAATGTTTACACTTTCATATTTTAAAAATTGTGAACAAAGCTTATCTTATTTATTAGATGACTAGCACTTTTACCCAGCATTGCTTGGGTCCTTAATTCCATTTTTTTGAAAATAAAAGGAAAATGTTACATGCTTTATTTAAAAGATGAGAAAAGTGCAGGGTTCTAATGCCCCCAGCACTCTCCAGCCAGAGAGAGGAATGCAGTAACTATGCACTTTCCCCTTGCTCCCTGATGAAGGGGAACAGCCAGCAATGTCCCCATACAAATCTGGGAGGGGGGAGCATCAGCCTCTCTTGCCTACCTTAAAGGGCATCTGGTGGTGTTGGAAGACTCAGGCCTGGAGCAGTCCTGGACAGGGTAGGAGTAGAGCCCAACCCCTTTCACCTGCCTGGTGATTGTCTTTTTTTTTTTTTTTTCCTCCCGTATTGTTTTATGAGAAGTAATCCCTTTCCTGGCACAACGAAATCCTTACCTTTGCTTATGTTACGGTAAGAGGAAGCTGTGTACTGAATGTAGTGGTCCTTAGTTCTTATGGTTCAGGAGGAGTTCTTAAATGAACGAACAAACTCTTTGTTGATTTAATATTATACTGGTTTTGCATGATGCATATGACAAAGTGGCTTTTACCTATGAAAGCTTATGCCCAAATAAATCTTAGTCTTGCAGGTGCATTTTTTTTCTGAATTCACTAATATTTGAAAAGGGATATTGAGATTCTGTATTGGAAAGCACCTCAGAATTCCATATTATCATTTTGCTATTGTTGCTATCTTTTAAAAAGTTGCTGTATAAAAAATATTTTAAAGACTGTAACATCTCTAACTTTCTGCTTTACAAACTCACTGTGATGGCAGTGTGGTGATCAAATACAGAAGTTATTCGAGAGCCCATTCACACTCTTAAAAATAGACTCAAGGGTCCTGGTTACACCACAGTTACAGCTTTTGTAGTGATGTCATTGTGATATTAGCAATTATCTCATAACTTAGAATCATAGAACTGGAAGAGACCTCAGAAGGTCGTCAAGTCCAGCCCCCTGCTCTAGGCAGGACCAATTCCAACTAAATCAACCCAGCCAGGGCTTTGTCAAGCCGAGACTTAAACACCTCTAGGGATGGAGACTCCACTACTTCCCTAGG